ACCTTAACAAAGAGTTTAAAACTCAAGTAACTGGCTGATCAGATCATGAGCAAACCTTGCAAAGAGTCTGACTACATTATCTTACTTTGATGACAAAGAAGATCAAAATATACAACCAGAAGAAGACAATAAAGTCAAGGGTCCTACATCCAAAGCCTCCGAGAAAAATATGAATCAGTCCCAGGCCTTGGAAGAGCTCAAAAGGGATTTTGAGAAGCAAGTAAGAGAAGTAGAGGAAAAACTGGGAAAAGAAATGGGAGTGATGCAAGAAAATCATGAAAAACAAGTCAACAGCTTGCTAAAGGACACCCAAAAAAATACTGGAGAAAATAACACTTAAAAAATAGCCTAACCCAAATGGCAAAAGAGGTCCAAAAAGCCAATGAGGAGAAGAATGCCCTAAAAAGAAAGATTGGCCAAATGGAAAAGGAAGTCCAAAAGATTACTGAAGAAAATACTTCCTTAAAAATTAGAATAGAGCAATTGGAACCTAGTGACTTTATGAGTAATCAAGACACTGTAAAACAAATCCAAAAGAATGAAAAATTAGAAAACAATGTGAAACATCTCATTGGAAAAACAAGTGACCTGGAAAATAGATCCAGGAAAGAGAATTTAAAAATTATTGGACTATCTGAAAGCCATGATCAAAAAAAGAGCCTAGACATCATCTTTCAATAAATTATCAAGGAAAACTGCCCTGATATTTTAGAACCAGAGGGCAAAATAGAAATTGAAAGAATCCACCAAAGAGATCCCCAAAGGAAAACTCCTGGGAATATTATAGCCAAATTCCAAAGTTCCCAGGTCAGGGGCAGCTAGGTGGCACAGTGGATAGAGCACTGGCCCTGAAGTCAGGGGGACCTGAGTTCAAATCCGGCCTCAGACCAAACACTTGACACTTACTAGCTGTGTGACCCTGGGCAAGCCACTTAACCCTAACTGCCTAACAAAAAAAAAAAAAGAAACAAAAAAACAACAAAGTTCCCAGTTCAAGGAGAAAATATTGCAAGCAGCCAGAAAGAAACAATTCAAGTATGGTGGAAACACAATCAGAATAACACAAGATTTAGCAGCTTCTACACTAAAGGATCACAGGGCATGGAATATAATATTCTGGAGGCCAAAGGACATAGGATTACAACCAAGAATCACCTACCCAGTAAAACTGAGTATAATACTTCAGGGGGAAAAATGGTCATTCAGTAAAATAGGACTTTCAAGCATTCTTGATGAAAAGACCAGAGCTGAATAGAAAATTTGACTTTCAAATACAAGACTCAAGTGGAACATGAAGAGGTAAACAGGAAAGAGAAATCATAAGAGACTTATGAAGGTTGAACTGTTTACATTCCTGCATGGAAAGATGATATTTGTAACTCATGAGATCTTTGTCAGTTTTAGGGTAGTTGGAGGGGAAAAAATTATATGTATGTATAGATAGATAGATAGATAAGAGGGCACAGGGTGAGTTGAAGATGAAGGGGTGATATCTGGAGAATAAAATTAAATGGTGAGAGAGAATTATACTGAGAGAAGGAGAAAGGGAGAGGAAGAGCAGGGTAAATTATCTCACAAAAAACAGAAAAGAAAAGGCTCTTACAGTGGAAGGGAAATGGGGGAAGGTGAGAGGGAATGAGTGAATCTTATTCTCATCAGATTTGGCTTAAGGAGGGCATAACATGCACATTCAATTGGGTATGGAAATCTATTTTACCCTACAGGAAAATAAGGGGGGAAGGGGACAAGAGAGCAGGGAGATGACAGAGCGGAGGGCAGATTGGGAGAGGGGGTAATCAGAAGCAAACACTTCTGAGGAGGGACAGGGTCAAAATAAAGAATAGAATAAATGGGAGGTGGAATAGGATTAAGGGAAATAGAGTTAGTTTTTCACGACATGACTACTTTGTTTTGTATAACTGCACATGTATAACTGGTATTGAGTTGCTTGCCTTTTCAGTGAGGGTGGGTGGGGAGGCAGGAAGGGAGAAAATTTGGAGCCCAAAGTTTTAAAAACACATGTTTAAAAAAAAAGTTTTCACATGCAACTGGGAAATAAGAAATACAGGAAATTGGGTACAGAAATCTATCCTGCCCTACAGGAAAATAGAAGGGGAAGGGGATAAGAGAAGGGGGGGAGAGATAGAAGAGAGGGCAGACTACAGGAAGGGATATTCAGAATGCGTGCAATCTTGGGGTGGGGGGAGGGGTGAGATGGGGTGAAAATTTGGAACTCAAAATCTTGTGGAAGTAAATGTTAAAAATTAAAAATAGAATAGGCCCACCTCGCATTATGATATTCATTTTCTCATTAATTTTAATCAATCAGAGTTTATTGCTGCCTGTTGGGAATGGCTACTCTTCTAATAGTATATAAGCATCAAGAGGCTTCCGGGGTGGGGGGGGGGTGTCTTTGGTTCATGAGACAGCCAAATGACCATCCTTTTATTAATTATTTGCTAGCCACAATTAATAAAATGATTAATTACCTAGGGAAAAAAAAAAGGAAATCAAACCCTTATAAGTGATGTTTAATATGGACTTCTTCCTGAAACATAACTTTCTTTCTTATTATCATTAATTTCCTTCATGAAAAAGCTTTTCAATTGTATGTAGTCAAAATTATCTATTTTATCTTTTGTAATTGTGTCTATCCCTTTAAAAACTCGCCCCTAACTCATAGCTGTGAAAGGTATGTTACCCACTTTTCTTTCTTCCTTTCATTTTTTTTTTCTGGCTTTTTGGTGAGGCAATTGGGGTTGAATGACTTGCCTTGAGTCACATAGCTAGTGAGTGTTTTGTGTCTGAGGCCACATTTTAACTCAGGTCCTCCTGACCTAGATGCCCCCTACTTTTCTTCTAGTCTTTTTTATTTTAATTTTTTATTTTAATTAGTCTTAGCATTTACTAAGGTGGTATCATAGCAAGTTGGTATAAAACATCTCCTCAAAAGCTTGTGGCATACTCTCCCACAAGTACATAGAGTCCAGGGGAAAATATGTTCATACTTAGAGACCACATTTAGCAAGGGGTTCATTCATAGCTTCTGAAAGCCCTTTTGCTGGACTCTTGAGATGTTTCCCTCCAGTATGGTGTAGCTCTTCTAGGGTCTTTGTAGATCCTTGAACCTTAGTTCCGTCTGTGGTTGGCTCCCAATACAGACACTACAGCTATAAAGCTAGCATTTATATAGCACTAAGTGCTTAAGTCCTACAAATATTATCACATTTAATCCTCATAATGACCCTGAGAATTAGATGCTATTATTATCATTCCCATTTTATAGTTGAGGAAATTGAGGCAGGCAGCCCAGGGTCACACAGTATCTGGCCCTGATTTGGACTCAGGACTTTCCTAACTCCAGGCCCAGTGCTTTGTCCATTGCACCAAGTTGTTATTGTTCAGTCATTTCTCTTTTGGACCCCATGTTGGGTTTTCTTGGCAAAGATACTGCAGTGGTCTGCCATTTCCTTCCCCAGCTCCTTTTACAGATGAGGAAACTGAGGCAAACAGAGTTAAGTGACTTGTCCAGAGACACATAGTATCTGAGGCCACCAGATTTGAACTTGAGAAGAGTAATCTTCCTCACTAAAGGCTGGGTACTCTATCCACTGAGCCACTTAGCTGGCTCAAACCACATAGGTACCTAAGCAGTTATTAAGTACCTGTAGTGTACCAAGCACCACACTAAGAGCTTCATAAATATTGTTTCATTAGATCCTTACAACAGCACTGACCCAGCTGATTCAAGGGGCACTGCTAAGATAATGATGGGAAGATGGGAAGTAGTCTAGATATCTGAAATTCAAAAAGTCTTTTCTTCTCTGGCAGAGATCTGCTCCCTCCTCACTGATCAATTGCTTCTCAGAATTTAAGTAGAACTTTTTTTCTCTCCCCCAAGCTCCCTAGTTTTATACAGGACCTATCAGTTGCCTCAGTGAATCTGAAGGCTCTTCTTGGGCAATGTCACTCCGGTCTTATTTATTTAGTCTAAAATCTATGACTGAGATTGATCTCACTTGGTTATGGTAAGAGGACATGCCATTCTGTCTCTTTAGTGGGATGGGGTACCTTGATTATTTTATTCAATCAATGTTCACTCTAACAAGGTAAGCCAGGGATAATTTTGTTTTCTCTTTGATTATCTTTAAGTCTTTAATTTCTTTCTCTTCTCTTATTGCTAGTGCTACCATTTCTAGAACGGTCATCAAATAATAGCAGGCAACAAATATTTTTTAAGTAAAAGCTCCATCAACCCTACTAATGTACTCATCCATACTGCCACTGGCTTTCAGCCCTCCCCCTCCAGCCCTTCCTAATCTTGTCCCAGAACACAGGAACTGACTTTAACCATTAAAGTTTTAAAGAAGGATCACATCATAGAATGTCAGAACTGGAAAAGATATTACAGTGGAGAAAACCAATCAGTCAACAAGCATTTATTACGGGCCCACTGTGTGCCCCACTGGAAGTGGCTTGTCCACTACAGCAGCTGCCTCAGTTCTCGGTACGGCAACCTAAGCTCCTCCCTAACCTCTAGGGGGCAGGGAGGCGGGCCCACAGATTAGAAAGAACTGATTGCTAGGAGGCTCAGATAAAAAGCAGGGGTCAGCCAAGAAGCAGCTCCCACTGCCCCAGGGTGCCTCTCTCTCCTAACATTCCAAAAGGTCACAGGGAAAAATAGGAGTTAGAGTTGAAAAGGGCCTTTCCAGGCCATCTGGTCCAAATCCTTCCATTTAAATATCAGGAAGCTGAGACCCCAAAAGATGAAGTACTTTGCTTAAAGTCACATGGGTGGAGATGAGCATGAATCAGGACTTCTCAAGAGTTCAGACTCAGCGCTCCGTCTGTTCCCAAGCCTCAGGCTTGGTCTGATGCCTTTAAAGTCAAAGCCGGCTCCTGGGTCAAGCTGTGGCCCTCTGGACCGCTCTTCTATTCCACTCCTTCCCTTTCATGCCCTTTGCTTAGGTAGGACCCCCGATCTCGCACCCCGGTCTTACCTTCCTCCTCCCAGCGCTGCAGGGTCTGCGGGTCGCTCTTGCGCACGCTGCCCAGGAACTCGGGCTGCACCGGCTGCATCCTGGAGTCCAGGCACTCCAGAGGACTCTGCTCCTGGGCGCAGGCCGCGGCCGCCCGCTGGCAGTGCTCCCTCAGTTCGTCGGAGTCCAGCAGGGCCAGGTCCGTGAGCAGGGACGCCCTCTCGGCCCCCTCCAGCTCAGCCCAGAAGCGCAGGAGATGGGACTGGCCGGCCCGCTCCAGCCTGGCTCGGATCTCTTCTTCTGACACCATACCTGCGCTCCACATACCACCACCAGCAGAAGCAGAAGCCAGAGCCCGTGGAACGTCCCCAGAAGGTCGCGACTGCTCCAGGACGTGGTCTCCCGCCTTAAGCTTACACAGAGCACTCGTGACCGGTCCAGGAACTGAGCTAGTGTCACGCGCTTCCAGGACCAGGCAATCTATAGGCTCCCAACTCCAGTAAATATTCTCCTCTTACCTGTAGGTTGGGCCTCCGGGTCCTTGGACTGGGTCAGCTAAAGGGTCTTCCTCCCCGTCCCCTCCCACCCCTGAAAAGTTTCTGGCGCGCATGCCCAGTACCATTCCGGTAGAGACGTGCTAAGTGTCTGCTGGGCTTCCTAGTGGAAGTAGCCCTGGACTTTACTATATCACCAGTTGGATAAGAGGGGAACGAGGTGGCCTAGGGTTAAATCCTAAAGCACGGAGTCCGGCTCCTTCCTGCCCATGGGGGAGCTTCTGCTGCTCTAGGTAGCACTTTCTCCAAAGCCTCTGCTCCAGGGAAGAAGATTCAGCTTTTTCTCAACCTCTCAGTGGTCCAGGACTTAAGTGACTGCATAGAGTTGGCAACCGAGGTACGGGGTTGACGTGGAGGGAGAGTGGATACACATCCCATCTCTCAACATGTAAAGAGTCTTGGGCTTAGTTATTTATCTTGAGCCTCCCCGTGGACTTCCAGGGAAAGTTAGTTATGATTCATCCCCATTTTTTGGGAGGTAGGAAACTCAGGAACCAGACTGAGCACGAAGGCACTGGTTTTGTGAACGGAGGGTACCCATTCCTGAGCAAACAGGTTACTAGGGCCAGCATAGAAGAAGAGGAAGAGTAATTAGAGTAGACTTGCAGATACTTAGATACTAGGTTCCACATCCCAGAGCACAGAAGACATTCTCTAGCTTTCCACTCATCTTAGTTGTAACAAGTTAAGTCTTGGGGCACTGAAGAGAAGTATTGCAAAGGGGATTTAGACCCCCAAGGAGTGTAGCTAAAAGAAAAGACTTCGTTTTCCCTTTCCCCCCTTCCATCTTTCACCTTCCACCTTCCATCTTCCAACCTCCCCTCCACCCAACCTCCATTACTCTTAGATCCTGGGATATTGGCCTCCTTGCTATTACTCAAACAAGATACTCCAACTTCCTGGCTCTGGGCATTTTCACTGGCTGTCTCGCCAACCCTCCCCCCCCACCACCATGCCTGGAATGCTTTCCTTCCGACACCCTAGCTTAGTTCAAATCTCTGTTAAAGTCACACCTAGAAGAAGCCTTTCCTAATCCCTCTTAATGCTGGTACTTCTGTTGATTATTTCCTATTTATCCTGCATATACTTTGTACTTCAGTTGTTTGCATGTTTCTCTCCCAGTAGGTGGTCATCTCTTGGAGGGCAGGGACTGTGTTTTGCCTTTCTTTATATCCCTTAACACTTAACACAGTACCTGGCACATTTGTTGTTGTTTAGTCCTTCAGTCCTCAGACCCTTCATGATCCAGAATGGGGTTTTCTTGGCAAACATACTGGAATGGTTTGCCATTTGCTTCTCCAGACCTAGCACACAAGAGGTGCTTAATAAATGTATATTGACTGATCAACTGGCCTATGGTTCATCTGCCCAGGAGTACCTTAAGCTAAAGGAAACACTGCAATATTTCTTTCTCTCCAAGATTTTTTCCTGACATGAGGAAGAAGGATCAGGACATGGTGACCAAGAGGGGAAGAAGGCAGCAGATAGGGAAGCAAAGACTGAATATAGGGAAAACGGGGGGGGGGGGGTGCAGCTAGATTATCTGCCTGCTTTGGTTCACATGTGTTCAAAAGAAATGCTCCTCTCATTCTATGTACATGAAGTAACCATTACCACCCCAAGACTTTTGAGAGTCACATTCCATTCTATCACTCTACCTAGTTATTAATGACCAGAGAGAAGCACAGAGCAGAGATTATAGTACATAATAATATACATAAACCTCATAAATGTTTACTGACTATTGACATAATCAACAATACGCAGCAAAGCCAAGTTTCTGTGTTATTGATGAGGGAGATACTCCAAGAAAAGCTCCCAGGAAATGAAGAAGTTTACCTGAAGGACAATAGATAAAGTGGTTAAAGTCTGAGATGGGAGAAAGCATGTTTGATGTGCCTTTTATATGTATACATTTCCCCAACAACACTGAGTTCTCCAATGGCAAGGACCAAGTCAGTTACTTCTCATTCTGTGTGTTCCTTTGCAGTGTCTAAATTGGTATCAGGCCCATGCTCAGCACTCAATAAACAATGGCTGACTTCTGGAACTGTAGCCAAGGCCCCTTAGCCTGACTCTTTCCCACACACCTGAGTATCCCCAAGGGGCCACCTGATGCTTAGGGAGTGACTTACCTCCCGACCACCCCCAAAACTCAGCTGCAAAAAAGAGCCTTGTTTTCCTTAGGCAAATGCTCTATGGCAACACAAGGCTCCCTTGTCCCAGGCTGGGGCAGCTCTCAGCTGTGGCTTCCTCAGCTACAAAAATGTTTCCACTCATTTCAATGATGTCTGATGTCACCCCTGGATTCCCTTGGACAAACCCTTGCTTTATTCCCAAACAGATTTGCAGCACAGTCATCGTTTGTCTGGCTAGATACTCCTCAGAGTTTTCTGACGGAGAAGTGTGCTTCTTGTATGACAGGGACTGTGCTGTCTTATGTCTGCTCCTCCCCTATTTCCAGTCTTTGGACCTGGCTGGAAGAATCAAGAGAGAAAGGGCTGTAGAAGGCTAGCAGGTAGAAACGGAGAGGTTGGCTTTCACGTTATCTGTTCTCTGGATCCAATCCAGCTGGCCCTATCCAGGCAAGACTAATGTTTAAAAAGTAGCACTGAGCAAACATTCATAACAGGTATTAGGGGCAAAGGTCAGCAACACCCTCCTCTCTAGTCACACAAAGGAATAAAGATCTCAGATGGTGTAACAACCTGAGATGACACTCAGCTTCAAAAATCTAGGACCTTTTCTTGGGGAAGTAAAACAGAGGCCACTATAAAAACCTAATCAATGTGTTAAATGGATTCAGCGAATAAGTTGTATGCTTGTAAATTACCCATCATTATAGCATGTGTGCTCAAAGATTCCCTACACTATTAAAAGTGAATGAAATAAGAGAAGGGGGGAGGGAGTAATAGAAGGGAGGATGCATTGGGGGAGGCAGTAGACAGAAGCAAAAGTGAATAAATAATTTCTACCTTCATCACAGAGTGATTCTGAAGTTCAGATAAGAGAATCTGGGAGGGCTTTGTAAACTAGAAAGTGCTGCATAAATGTAAAGTGTTACTACAGATAAATAAACTCCAAGACTCAGAGAATGCCAGAGCCAGAAAGAAACCTCAGTACAACCTACTCACTTTACAGATGAGGAAACTGAGCCCTACAAGTAACTTGCTCCAAGTCTCCCAGTTCTACTACACAAGGTAGTAGTGTTAAGAGTAAAATGTTATGTACATACATGTCTTATTCTTTGGATGCACTGAAAGCTTCACAATGATGGGGACAAAATCACTCTCAGGTCTGTACTCTCCACCCCTCCCCACCACTATACCAGCACAAAATTTTTCAAAAACTGACACCAGAGAAGGGTAGTCAGTCAATCTGTAAGCATTCATTAAGTGCTTACTATATGCCAGGCCCTGTGCTAAGTGTTGGAGGTGCAAGGAAAGTAAAAAACAGTAGGTGAGTGACAGTAAGGTCTCCTAGCTAGCTGCCAGTCTAGGATTCTTTTCAACAAACCACCTTGTCACCCCTTCCTCTCAGAATTCTTCCCTTTGTTAAGGAAAGAGTCTAGGACAGGAGGAAAGTTTATGAAATTAATCTAGGAGGGGTGGCTAGGATGTTAGATGATGTAATCAGGACCTCAAAATATCTCAACAGGCTACTGCAATGTTCTGAGATTAATGAGATGAACAAGTATAAAATTTGTGTGAAAACAACAAACTAACAAAGACAAACTGAGTTGGAGGAAGGATGTTCTGGACTTTAGGTTCAAACTGAATGAACAGTGTGAAATGACAATCAAAGAAGCTAATGTTATTACTAGCCTGATTCGAAATAGGCATAAGATCCAGAAAGAGAAAGAAAGATGCCTCCCCCAAGTAAACCAAGGCACACTGATCTGATCAAATTACATTAGGAATACAATTTTAAGTTCTGGATATCACATGATGGACATTGACAAGATGGAATATGGTCCAGAAGAGGTGGATTAGGGTGATGGGAGGACTGGAGATACTTTGAAGGCACTGTGGCCATTTAGTAGAAGGGCTCATCTGTGAACTGAAAACTAACTCGTTCTACTTGGTTCTGAGGGAAAGAAATAGGAGCAATGGAAATTGCAAAGACAGACATTGGTAGGAAATATTAGGGAAAAAATTCTAACTGTTTAGAGCTGCACCAAAGTTAAATGGGCTGCCTCCAGGTGGGTCCCCTTCAAGTAGAGATTAAGTCACCTCTTGTTTCCCAAGTGGTAGAAGGAATTCTTGATCACGAAAAGGTTAGACCACATCCTCTGAGGTCCCTTCTAAAACTCAAATTCTGAGATTCTGGATTTTTTTTTCCTAAAGGAGGAAACAGAAAAGCTGCCAACAACAACAAAAAAAGTGGGGGGCTTAAATACAGAATGGAGACCTAAGACTGAGCAGCGTTTAGGGGGATCTATGGAATCCTCTGGGAAGGGGGCCCCAGCTCCGTTGTCCAGTCCCTCCGTCTCTTTAATTTCACCCACCTCCTCCCCTATAACCGGATAGAATCAGAGGGTTGAGTCTGCACCTGCGAGGAGGAGCTTGGGACTCAGCATCTGCCCCTCGGTATTTCCACACCATTTCTTTTTTGGCTGGAAAATCAAACCGGTTCAGTCTGTTTCTTAGCCAATCCAGGAAGAGATGGTGCCACTTCTGGCCAATGACTGTTGAAAGTGTTAATGAGCTGGTGACGCAAACGAGAAAGTCCCTGGTTCAAAAAGAAGAAACTATTGTAAGGTCCTTTCCCCCGGTTGTCTCGCTCCCTTCTCCCTCCCCTCCCTCCCCCTCCCCCCATTCTTTCGCTCTTCTCTCCCGGGGTTTTAGAACGTTGTGGGTTGTTTGGAACTTGGGGATCCTCACTGCTGGCCCATGGCTGTGATCGCTTCCGAGCGTGGCCGTGCACCGCCCACAGCCCCAGAGCAGGAATTCAGCACCGAGGGGCTACCCCGGGCCTTCCTGCAGAGCCTACGTACACTCTTCGACATTCTGGATGATCGACGGCGGGGCTACGTCCACCTCTTGGAGATTGAGTCCCGGTGGCAAGGCGCGGACACGAGAGAGCTTCCAAGGGGCGTACTGGAAGGTCTGAGGAAGGTCGCCCCAGCCAGCGGGTACCTGACCTTCGAGAGGTTTGTAGTAGGGCTGAGGACTTCGCTGTTGAGTGCTGAGAATGGGGCCCCTCATGCCAGAGCCCCACAGGGGTCACGGGGCCAGGCGTCCCAAGCCAAGGTACTTCCCATGGGGCCCGGGATTTGCAAGGCTAGTTCGGGCCAGGGCCGGGGCAAACTGGTCCATGAAAAGCACCACCAGCGACTCATCTTCGCACCCGCAGACGAGCCCCGGACTATGCTGGAGAAGAAACCTTTGTCCTTGGGAATTCGTTATCCCCACGCGGGATCGAGCTGTTCCTCCCGGAGCCTGGAGAAGCTCTCCAGCCCTCAGGAAGCTGGGTGTTACCCTGGGGATTTGGAGCGGCCCAAGAGCCAGGCTCCTCAGAGCCCTGGAGGACTGGTCCTGGAGCGAAGTCAGAGTGGAGATGCAGGTGAGGACTGAAGGTGTTTAGAGATGTTGCGGGGGAAGGAGTAGGTTTGGGGACCCAAAATTGATGGGAGTTGGAGGAGTATTTGAAAGAGTCTACAGAGAATTTGTTTCCTCTCTCCTTTCCGTCCTTCTGTCCCTCCTTCCTCTAACCCCAACAGCATTGCTGACCTTGGTCTATTTTGGGCACCCTGACCTCTCAATTTCTCTGTCTGTATACTCAGCCCCCTTTCCTGCCAGTCTGCATATTCCTTCCCCTCTCAGCCCCTACCATGCATGAGATTCTTGTGTGTGATGCCAGGAGTCAGACTGAGTTACATCAGCCACAGGAGGACCTTGTTAGGACTCCAGGAATAGAAGATAGAGGGCTAGGGGAGCCATCCATTGGAATAGGCTGGCTTATTCCCAGACCATTCCCTTCCAAGGCCCTCCCTACCCTGGATTCAGATTCACTTTGCCTAGGGTCTTAGTTTCTGTAGGGGTTCTTGTAGAAAATCATTCACTTAACTGGCAACCCCAGAGGTGAGGGACTCCAGCAGGGAAATGAGCTTCATGTTCTCCTCAAACCACTTAGAAATAAACCTACCTTTTACTCTTCCTACCACCCAAAATGGGGCTACACATCCTAGGAGTGTTCCCTGGGGGCATTTATCCTAAATGCTGATGAAGAATTCTTTTTGAGGGATTATGCAGACATAAGTCCAAGCCTGAGAAGGAATGATTCTCCTTTGCTACATAAACAACAGGGCCAAACAAGGGACTTCAAGGGCCCCAAAGTGAATTTTTGGTCTAATGTAGACCTGCCCTTGGAGAGGAGACCCAGGTAATAATAATTATAGTGATTATTTGCATTCACTAAGTATTTCAATTCCATTATCTCGTTTTATCTCTATAACATCCCTGGGAGGTAGGTAAGATAGGAACTATTTCTCCCATTTTTATAGATAAAGACAATGGAGACACAGAAAAACTTGCCAAGGTCATACAGGAATCCTCCCAGTGTCAGGATTAGAACCTAGGTCTTGGAGTTCTGATATGATTCAGGATTCGGGGGAAAAAATAAAAAGAATAGACATTTTCTTGAAGGGGAAGGTAGGTTCTTAACAAATGCAAGCCTTCAGCTTCCAGCCAAAGAATTGTGGACTTGTTCACTGATAGTCCAGGTGAATGTCTGAGTTTAGAAACTCATCTAGAGCACTCAGGCTTGGGTTTAGGGGTGGGGATGGGGAAGAAAGACAGAGCCTTATCATGCAGACTTCCTGGGCCATTGGCAAAGGCTGGAGGGAGGTGAATGCCCAGCACTGTCCATTTCCACAGACCCCTCCTTAGGGAACAAGTATCTGGATTATAGGTTAAGGCATGGGCTGGGCTCCAAGATCGGCTGATGGTCCTCCTGAAAGCCAACCTCCTTGGCCCATTCAGCCTACACACGTGCCCAGGCAGGTGCAGAGTTTCCATTCAGCAGAGTGCTTCCGATCCCTGCTGCACTCCCAACCTGTGCTATGGGGGAAGGGAGGTAGAGGAAGAAAAAGGAGTGAGAGGAACAAGGGCTCTGAGCCTCCAAGAAAGTTAGTTGAGAGTTTAATAGGGAGAAGAGGGGAAAGGTGGCTGGAGGTTAAGAACATAGGAGAAGGAAAAGGCTGCCTTTTTCCCTCCCCACATCAATGTTGTCTGTCTGCTTGTCCATTCATCACCAGCAGTCATGTGGCTCAAAGCCACTCTGGGAATCATTGTGACCACCCAGTTGCTGGTGCCATGCATTGGTCAGATTCAGTCTTTGATGTATACCCTATTTATTGCCAGGGGCTTTGTACCCCTCTGCCCAGATGTCCACTGTCCCAAGGCAAAACTGAATGGGACCCTCACCTCTAGGGAGTAGAAAGTCTACTGTGATGTCCTCCTGGTGAACTGATTTCCTGGGCCAAGCAATTTGTGCTGGTGCCAGTAGGATAGCATGTTGAGGCAAGAAGCACAGGGCCTGACTCAGAGTTTGCTTTGCCTGGTAAAGGGTGAGGGGGAATAGATCTGGGACATGGGATGTCTCTGGCAGCCGTTCCAGGCTCTGAGATTCCAGGCCTGGCATCACTGAAATGTCCACCATGAAAAGGATCTTGCTCTCCCCACCCCCCTTTCCATGTTTACTCTACTCTCCCTCATTTCTCTTTCCCACATTATTTGGACCCTAGAGGGCCACAGGTTTGCCCTGCTGGGCCTTTCATGCTGAAAAGTCTGCAGTTGCTATACCTTTGCCAACTTTCCCTTTCTTATCTGCATTGAACCCAGGAGGCCTATGTCACTGTTGTTTGCCCTGAGTTTCAGGCCCCCCACATTTGACAGAGCAAGGGCCTTTTGCTCCCCTACTCCATTAAAGGTTGGTCTGCTCCCCAGAAGTGAAGAGGATTTGAACCCCAGGATCATAGGATCATAAACTTAGAAGTAGAAGAGACTTTGGAGGCCATTGAGTCCAACTTCCTCATTCTACAGATGAAGAAACTGAGGCACAAAGAAGTTAAGTGATTTGCTCAGGGTCACACAATTATTAAGTATCTAAAGGAAGATTTAAACCTCAGGTCTTCCTGACTTCAAGTCTAGCACCTAACTGGCACCTTGGTCATCTATGGCTAGAATCCCACAGAGTGCATTATGAATAGACCTCTCTTTGCACAGCCTGTGTCTTCCTGAAATGCTGGGTGCCAATGTACTATTCAGGTAAATACTGGGATATCTGATCCATAGGCCACTAATAAAATCTGGAAGGATTTGAGGACATCCCTCAATTTGTGGTGTCATCAGGGAGGCTGGCCATAGCTTCCCCCAAACTACCCCTCAATGCTCCTCTCAGAAACAAGATCTTGGCCTACTTAGAGGAGTTAGAAAAGTGAACATAACAAATAATTTTCCCTGAAATGTGAGGAAATCTTGCAGACATGGGGAAAGGATAGGGCTAGCCCATTTGGGAGAAAGCCTTAGTGAGGCTTTACCCACTCCCTTAAGACTTTCTTCAAGTCCCAGGTCCACATTGTTTCACTCTTTATATTTGTATCCCCAGCACCTGACACATAGTAGGTGCTTAATTAATATTTGTTGATTTATTGCTTACCCTCATGCCAGCTTTTTTCAGTACCCCTTAGGGGAGAAGTTCTTAACCAGGATTCCTGAATTTATATTTTTAAAAATATATTTTGATAACTGTATGTCATCAGACTTGGTTTCCATTGTATTCCTATGTATTTTATGTACTCAAAATATTCTGAGGAGTCTCTAGGCATTAGACTGTCAAAGGTGTCCATGATCCAAAAAAGGTTAAGGTAAAGGCCCCTATGCTAGGGGCCTCCACTACCAGCAAAGAACTTATAGTGAAGGAGGCTTTAAGGACCCCACACTTAAGCCCATCAGATCCTTGTATCCTTTTCCTGTCTGAAAGGAGGACTTACTATTTGGGCCTCCAGCCCTAGGTAACTGAGAAATAACCTTCCCCGATTCTGCTGGGGAATGCAAAGTAGGAAGGAGGTCAGGGGAAAGCATGTCAATCCATTAATCAATAAGTCCTTTCTGAGGTCCTCTGTATAAGGTTACAGAGGAGAAAAAAAAGATATAAATGCAGGTTCTGCCCTTGTTTGGTTAGGGAGATGAGACTCAGACACATGAAAAGTTAGATATGATGATGATGGCAATGTTATCCAAACCTTAAGTGTTCTAGAAGTTCTAAGAAAGGAAAACCTCTTTTATCTAAAGCAGTCAAGTGAGTTTCATGAATTAACTAGGCTTTAAACAGTGAGTAGAATCTGTATAGGCAATGGAGGGGGAAGAGTATGCTAAGTTGGGGAAATGGGGTGAGCAAAGGTACAAAGATGGAATGACAGTGGATGTGTGAAGAGTCAGTGAAGAGACTAAACTGCGAAAGTTGAGGGTGGGTCCAGGGAAGCCTAAGGAGATAGTCTGAGGGCAGTAGGTTGGTGCTGGTGGAAAGCTAAACCATCCACAACAAAGCCTTCAAGCAGGAAAAACAGCCAAATCCATATCAAGCACATGTAGAAATATCTGTTTCTTTTATTCACCTGACTCTGAGTCAGGGCCTACTGGTGGGAAAAAGGGGAAGGAGGGACTGAGACACTTAGGGAGTGAGGCTTAAAAGGCCTGGAGACTGAGATTAAGGGAAGTAAATTTATATGACAAGAAAAACCAGGGGAAAAGAGCCTACTTGGGAGATGAGGTAGAAAGAACTTCTAGAATGAAATGTGGGAAATTGATCATTCAAGGTTCACAGGGAGGAGTTGGAAATTCTCTGTGTTAGGAACCCAAAAAGTTGGGTCACCTTTCCCAGCCCTCAGGGAATACAACCTTTTCCCCAAATTTCTTCTTTGCCAGGAGGGCGGGGGACAACTTTTCTGCCTCACCCAGGTACTCTCTGCTGGGACTGTTTTTCACAACCCACATGGTGTGGAGCAGCCCTGAGGGGGAGCCAGGTCTAGCCAGAGCCAAGGGTGGCCATGATTAGCTGCTGCTAGCCTTATGGAAGCCAAGCTAAGAGCTGGTTTTGGAAAGAGTCAGGCAGCCACCCAGATCTCTCTCCCTTATAGGCACTGATGTCTGGACTGTGGGACGATGCCATAGTGAAAACTGTACAGCAGGTGGGTCTGGGAGGCATCCAAGGGGCCGAGGAGAGCAGCGGCGGCATACTATCACCAGTGGAGTGGACTATGACATGGTAAGATGCACCTGTCCTATGGTCCGTCAATTTTATGATAGATAAAAAGGAACAGACAGATAGACCAGGGAGCATCCAGAAGTGCTGACCTCTGTTATCCCTTGGGCAAGGAGGTATAGGGAGAATGAATAAATGAAAAAACATTTCTTTTTTTATTTATTTCATTAAATATTTCCCAATTACATGTAAAAAAAATTTTAACATTAATTTTAGAAAATTTTGAGTTTCCAAATTCTCTCCCTTTCTCCTGTCTATCCCCCACTCACTGAGAAGGCAAGCAATATGATATCAATTATAATGTGAAATCATGCAAAACATATTTGCATATTAGCCTTGTTGCAAGAAGGCATTTTTTTTAAGAAGGCATTTCTTAATCACCTACTAAGTACTCTATGATAGGCAAATCCCTGCCTTCAAGAACTTTGCATTCTTTTAAAGGGATACAATATATATATATAGGGGAGTGGGCCCCCAAAAGGAGCTTAGTCTGAGGAGTTCCAGGGGTTGTGATTGGATTCATAGGGCAGTTGATTATCTTCCTTCCAAGAATAATGGTATTATTGGTTTGATCCTTGTTCTCAGAGCAAGAGCAAGAGGCAGAATGGGGGAGGGCGCAATGTCTTTCCCAGGCCTCCAGCTCTGGAGTGGCTCCAGGACTATTCCAGGTACAGTGGGTCTGGATTGGAAGCCTCTTTGAGGACACTTTATCTCTTTCTCATCTGGAAGATCCATTCCTCCAAGGACATCAGGGGTGAGAAGAATCCTCCTTCTGTCTTCCAGGAACTTGGACACGATAGGCAAGGGCCTGGGGGACTGGTGCCATCTGGAGAAGGCTTGAGGGATGTAGAAGCCATCCATCTAATGGGCCGTCTGTGTGGCTGTGCACATGGGTTTGCCTTTATATGGTGTACATATGTGCTTCTCTCTTGGTATGTGTTGCAGCTGAAGCAGATGAAGGAGCTGGAACAGGAGAAGGATGCACTCCTGCAAGGGCTGGAAATGATGGACAGGGGAAGGGACTGGTACTACCAACAGCTCCAGTGGGTACAGGAGCGACAGCGCCACCTCGCTAAGAACAAAAAGAGCACAGTGAGTCCCCCGCTTTTCCTGCTTCCCAGACAGCAGCATCCATCCCTGCCCTTGGCAGTTAATTCCTAGGATCCTCCCTCTGCCCCAGAAGCTGATCTGACCTCTGACCTTAATTCTCCTCGTAGGATTTTGGGGCCGAGGGGAGCCCCAGCCCACTGGGTCAACTGTTGCCCAAACTGCAGGAAGTTATTCGGTGCCTAGGGGACCTCTTAGCTGCTGCCTGTGCTGGAAGGGTAAGTGTTCCCTCCCTGAGCCCCTTCCTAAAGATTCTTAGATGCCATTCCCAAGGATCCTCAATTCTAAGCCCACTGAATACCCCACCCTGGTCTCTACCAGAAGTAAACTGAGATCATGGAATGATAGAATTATGAGATATCTGAGTTGAAAGAGACCTTTGAGATCATTGAATCTGGTCCTCTCATTTTATAAATGGGGAAACTAAGGGCCACAGAAGGGAGATAACTTGCTCAGTGTCACCCAAGTAGACCGAAACACAGATTTCCTGGCTTCTAATCCAATTTCTAATCCTGTTTTCACTGCATAATGTTGCCTCTCAGGGTCGTAGTACCTCTCCCTTCAAATCAGACTTGGGGTGATTTTCCCTATGGGGAAGAAGAGGTTCTCCAGGACTTCCTTACTAGGTCTATCCTCAGTATCTGAACTCTTACCCTCCTTCTTTATGTCCTTCTCATGCAGGTCCAGGCTGTCCCCAGCCCTGCCTCTGCCACCCCCACCATATCCCCTCTCTCTGGGAGACATCAACAGACCATATTCATGCTGAAGGAACAAAACCGTCTCCTAACAAAGGTGGGGATCAGAGGTGAAGTGAAGGGTATAAGGGGGTGTGATGGGAATAAGGGAGAAAAAAAGGGCACTGGGAAATGGGGAGAGGAGCCCAGACAGTTGTTGATTCCCATGGCTTCCTTCCTAGGAGGTAACAGACAAGAGTGATCGGATCACACAGCTAGAGCAAGAGAAGTCAGCCCTCATCAAGCAGCTGTTTGAGGCTCGAGCTCGAAGCCATCAGGAAACCAGCCAGCTGGACTCCACCTTCATCTAACACCGCCGACAAGAACGCAAACATCACAGACAGCCCTTGCTCCTGTGGTGGGCATAGGGTCTTTTCAAAGCTCCTACCCCAGCATAGGCACACATTCTGGGCATCCCCTGACTTTGTATGGGCAGAGATTCATCAGACAGCCTCTGCCTCTGGCAGGTGTCTTGCGTGTTGAGGACACCACCCCTCTCTGACCACTTAACATCCAGTCATGACCAAGGCAGAAGGACTTCCCCATCTAAGCTCTGGGGAGAAATATCTATAAGAATAACTTTCGTAGCCATCTCTGGCAGGAAGGAAGCTTCCCTCAGCCAATCCCAGAGAGTCTAGCCTCATCTCCTTTTCTCCACTGCCCCCTTTAGTTGAAATCCTGCCCCTCCTTCTTGCTACTTGTGTGACCTAGACCAAATCACTTCGCTTTTCTGGGTTTCAGTTTCCTCCTTTGTAAAATGAGGGGGCTGGAGTGGATAACTTCATAAGGTCCTTTCTAGCCCTGAGCTGGGTTGTTTTCTCAATACCCCCTGCCAAACCTGGTCTATTCTTCTCAAGGCGAGGACTGGTTCTCAAAAGAACATGAACTATTAGGAGTAGCCCTACGATGGGGGCATCCCTTTCTCAGGGCTGGAGTCCCTGGGGCCTGGCATATTGCACCGTTCCGCCCAATAGCTATTATGGGAGCAATAGCTGAGGGGATGACGATGAGCTGGAGAGGCCATCCTCTGGTAGGGAATGGGGTATGGTCAAAACTCACCCTCTTTCCCTACCCACCCTCAAAGTGTTTACAGGGAAAATTCTGGGGTATTTAGGCAAGAATGGCTTTTTTATGGTTGTTGCCCCACCCCTAGGAATGTGTACAGCTGCTATCTGTCTGTAGTAAAAATACACATCAGCCCAGATGTCTTTTCACTCTCTCCTTAGCTACTTCCACTTCTAAGCATTGAATCCTGAGGGGAAGGGGTGTCATTAAGGAAACAGCAGGGGGAGTTGTGGTATGGGAGGTACCTTAGAAATTTTTAAGGAGGTAATTCCCCACTGTGCCCCTAGAGGGCAAAATTGTTAGACAGAAGTCCCCAACAGTCAATCAGAAAGTATTTATTAAGCAACTACTATACTCCAGGCAGCTAGGTAGCACAGTGGATAAAATGCCAGGCCTGGAGTCAGGAAGACCTGAGTTTAGATATGGCCTCAGATATGTAGTAGCTATGTGACCCTGGGCAAGTCACTTAACCCTGTTTGCCTCAGTTTCCTCATCTGTAAAATGAGCTGGAGAAGGAAATTGCAAACCACTCCAGTATCTTTGCAAGAAAACCCCAAAAAGGGGTCATGAAGAGTCTAACATGACTGAAAAGCAATCAAACAAATAATCTAGGCACTGCACTAAATCTTGGGGATACAAAGAAAAGCAACAAAGAGCCCTTCCTCTCAATCCCAGGGAGCATACCTGTAAAGGGGAAGATGTACAAACAGCTTTGTACAGACAAGATATGGATGGCATAGATTGAAGATCGGCCACAAAGAGGAAAGGCCCTAAGGAGGACTGGGAACGGCCTCCTGTGGAAGGTGGGATTGTAACTGGGACTCAAAAGAAGCTGTCTGGTAGAAAACAAGGAAGGGTTCAGCCCCCTCCCATGACTGGACTAGGAGACCTCCCCTCCTAGCTTGAGGGTATAAGGGCAGCTAGGCTTGCTTCTTCCAGGAGGTAGCCCCTTTGCCCAAGCTGTTGTAACCAGACTTTCCTTCTCCTAATCCCATCTCCCTTCTAGTCAAGACTACCTCTTCCTTTGCCCCACTTTCATCTAGGACTCTGTCCCGGCTGACCCCGTAGGAAGAGAGGCCCTGTCCCCTCCTCAGCCTTCACCCTCCTTGTCTTCTAGGTCTTGGAGTCTATTGCCAGGAAACAAAGGGGCCTCTGAGTTGCTAAATGCAAACAAAAGTCATTCAGAAACAGCAATTTGGCAGGGGTTTAGCAGATTCACCCTCAAGAAACTAGTGCTCATACTTTTGAGGGGCAATGCCCCCTTTGGACAGAAGGATAATAAGATATTAAAGAGCTCACATTTCACTAGCACTTGGCTCAGAACAGCCCTGAGAGGTAGGTTGTGCAGTATTTTTATCCTTATTTGGCAGATGAGGAAACTTAGACTCAGTGAAGATACAAAGTGACTTGCCTGTGAACACATGGTTAGTAGGTATGTCAGCCTAAGTATTTGATCAAACCCAGAAGGGGAGACCTCCCCTGGGGGTTCAGGTCTTGAGTATTTCAGTTTGTATCTAGTGGGTGACCTCTCTCTGTCCTTCCCCAGCATAGGACTTGGCCATTTTCCCTGAGGACCTTTTAATATTCCCTGCCCCCAGAAAACCCAACTCAGGTTTCCAGCATGTGAAGAGCAGGGGTAAAAGGGATCAATGCCTTGTGGTATTACAGGGACCTCCAGGCCTGAGGTCTGAGGCAAAAGGGCTAGCTGTTACGGAAACAGTAGTATTTATGGGCTAGAAAACGTGCTGGAAATTGCCTGTTTTCCTGGGGGAGCATCTCCCTTCCACACCTCTCCTCATGTGAGTAGAGAATAGACAAAAGAGTCACAAGAAGTTGGAGCACTGTCCTGAGCTCAGCCCTGAGGACCTTGCTTTCTGTAGATGTCACCCTACCTGTGCTCTTTGGAATCAGAAGAGATGGGTTTGGCTCCCAGCTGTGCTGTGTACTAGCTGTGGAACCTTGGACATACAGCCTCTCCAGGATTGTTTTCCTTTTTGTTAACTGGGAGTGGTGATAGAGTTAACCTCTATGATTCTATGATCTCAGGAGTTGCTGGGCAGTGCAGCTAGGGGGATTTAGTTAAAACCAGAACGAGATGTCTAGCTCTGTCCCATGCTAGGTTTCCAGCCAGCCTCTTTCCTACCTTGAGACAAAAAGCAGAGGTCAGAGGTAGTATTTTCTCCTCTGGCTTTTTCACCAACCAAGGAAGGGGTAAAACCCCAGACCAGTCCTTACCCCCAGGAGACACAAGAACAAGATGAAACATCTTGTGTGTGTGGGGAGTGGGGAAGCATTGTGGGAGCAGCAGAGAGGGACAGGCAGAACTCATTTCCAGAACTAATCTCAGTCAGCTTTTGTTCACACAGGTTGGACAGGTTTGATGCCTACTGCTTTTCTGAGATTCCCCAGCCCACATAGGGTTTGAAGATAGAGGGTAGGGGCAGGGGCTTGACACCTTGTTTTCGATTTCTGATTCAGTGAATGTGGTGGCTGGTTTTTCCATAGGCTAATAAGTCATGTGTTGATTGACTTAATACAGCAGTTAATTTTCCTGTCACCCCAGGTAACAGACTCATCTAGCTTCCTTACCTGGGCCACAGGCTGAACATATTTTGGTAGTAGAGAAGAACAAGGGAAAGAGCGTAAATGTCTCAGTGTTGCTCTTCCCTGTCACCAAGGACACAGCTCAGAGTCCATATCAACCCAAAGTGGGTCAAGAATATTATTAAGAATGGGGCACAGCTAGGTGGCGCAGTGAATAGAGCACCGGCCTTGAAGTTGGGAGGACCTGAGTTCAAAATTAGCCTCAGACCAAAGATGTGACATTTAGTATCTGTGTGACCCTGGCCAAGTCACTTGACCTCAATTGCCTTAAAAAAAATGGGGCAGCTAGGTGGCACAGTGGATAGAGCTCTGGCCTTGAAGTCAGGAGGACCTAAGTTCAAATCTGGCCTCATACACTTGATACTTATTAGCTGTATGACCCTGGGCAAGTCACTTAATTCTGATTGCCTAACCAAAAAAAGAATATTATTAAGAAGTCAGACCTGGAGCCAACAAAGGATGGATTGAGACCAGGGTTAGGGAGGAGGTCAGAAGAGGAGTCGATCAAAACAATAAACCAATGTTTGTTATAGTGCCTGTTATTATTGTTAATTGTTTCAGTTGTGTCAGACTCTCTTGTGATTCCACTTGGGATTTTCTTGGCAAAGATTTTGGAGTAGTTTGCATTTCCTTCTCTAGCTCATTTTACAGATGAGGAACTAAGGCAAAGAGGGTTAAATGACTTGCCCAGGGTTACACAGCAAGGTAAATATCTGAGGCTGGATTTGAACTGAGGTGTTTCTGACTCCAGGGTGGGCTAGCTACCATATTAACTGGGGAGACTAAGGAAAATGAAACAAACTGCCTTCCAGGAGCTTACTTTCCACTAGGGGAAACAACATGCAAATAAAAGATAATTTTGGTGAGTAGGCACTAGTAGTTAGGTCCTGGGTGGGTGGAAAATCAGGAAAGACCTCATCTAAGAAATGAACTGAGATTTTAAGGAGGCTATGGATTTTAATAGAAATTAGGAGGGGATGTATCCCATGCCAGTGCAAAGGTGCAGAGGTAGGAAATGAAATGTGTAAGGAACAGAGAAAAGCTTTGAATGAACCTTATAGAGTATTTGAAAAAAAAAAGTAATACATAATAAGCCTAGAAAGGTAGGTTGGAGTAAGGCTGTGAAGGATTTTAAATGGAGTTTATGTTTAATTCCAGGGGCAATAGGAAGCCATTAGAACTGATTGAGTAAGGGAATGACAAGATCAGACCTGTACTTTTGGAATATCACTTTAGCAGCTCTGTAGAGGTCCAAGAAGGTCAAGAATCAAGAAAGAAAGCCATGGGGCCCTGGACCAGACTTCCTTTAATATCTCTTTCTGTGCTAGTCCTAAGCAAAGTGATGGGGTTGTGAAATTCACAGAGTTCACTAGAAAGCAGGGGAATGGGCCCAGGAACTGATGACCATACCACCAATCCCTTCTGAGCTAATCCACTTAGAGAAACTTCAAGGCTAGTTTCAACCTCCCCATATGGTCAGCAAGCACCTTGGAAACCCCATGAACACAAATCTTCATGGCAGGAGGGGATGGCTGCCTTTCATACTCAGTCCCTTCCTGCCAGCCCTGGACCTGGCAACCCCAAGGGAATGAGAGAAAGGGTTATTGTGATCTTTGGACACATGTACTGTCTGGTCTGTTCTAGGGAAATAGAGGGGACAGAAGGGTGGGAAGGGTGCCAGCCAGCACACAGAGACTCTGGTTTGCCTTTTAACCAGCCTGGAGAAATTTCTTTATGTTCTCCAGCTAGATAGGTCCCTTGTGAAGCAACTTCCCTTATTCTGGATGCCTTCAGCTCCCCAAGGGCCTGGCCTAGAGACCAAGAACTCTTTCTCCTGTGTAATTTGTCTCTGAGTGACAGGACCTTCAGTATTTTCCCCAGCCTGGCCCTTGGCAACAGGGGCCACAGCTTTAAAATGAGTGGTTTGTACAGAATGAAAGAGAAGCTGGAATAACATTCTGTGTCAGGTGATCTAGAAAGGCAGGAGTTGCAATCATGCTATCAAAGAAAACAAAAACGAAAATTCACAACATTAATAGATACAAATAAGGAAACTATGTTATGCTTAAGGAACCATAGACAATGAATCAATATCAATTCTAAACATATGTACCCAATGGCACAGCATCTAAATATGTACGGGAAAAGTAAAATGAATTGCACAAGAGGGGTGCCCTGGACTAAGCCTGATTCAGCTGGTAATTTAGGTTCAAAATTGAAACAAAATGAGACTCTCTGAAGTCATTTAACAGTTAACAAAAGGAGATTTGCTTAACCAAAACCAGAAGGATATCCAAGAAGGATAGGCATTGAGGACACCTTGAGTGGATTCATTTGAACAAAGCTCCTTAGCATTTTCCAGAGAGCCTTCTAGAACTTTTTGTACTCAGGAGAATAAGATGTGATGTCAACAACCTGAGCCTTGAGCCAACCAAATCTCAAGGATGGTCTCAATACCTTTTGAGGAAAAATTGGCTTAATTTGCATGGGGACATGGGATAAGATATTGCTCCCACCACAAGAAGAAAATTACAAAAAA